TAAATTAAATTGATAAACTAAATGGTTCAAACAACAGAGAATATTTTAAGTTGATTTATTCAAATTTAAAGACAGTTGTCCTTGCTGCTGTGCCGTTCCCAAGAAACACGGAAGTTCTACCAGAAGCTCAACGCATCCCGCAACGGCTTCGTGCCGCGAGCCGAAATGTGCAAGGATAAGGACGGGAGCCTCTTGACGGACGGACGTGAGGTGATTGAAAGGTGGAAGCAGCACTTCGATGCGCACCTGAATGGCGAGGAGAACGTAGGCACGGGAGACCAGCGCAATGGAGGAAACGACTACGTTAGTGCAGCAGAGGACGGAACTGACCCAGCTCCCACGCTGAGGGAAGTTAAGGATGCCATTCAGCAGCTCAAAAACAACAAAGCAGCTGGTAAGGATGGTATCGCAGCCAAACTCATCAAGATGGGCCCAGAAAAGTTGGCCACCTGCCTGCACCGGATGATAGTCAGGATCTGGGAAACAGAACAGCTACCGGAGGAGTGGAAGGAGGGGGTAATCTACCTCATTCACAAGAAAGGCGACCATTTGGAATGTGAGAACTTCAGAGCGATCACCATTTTGAATGCCGCCTACAAAGTGCTATCCCAGATCATCTTCCGTCGTCTATCACCTAAAATGACCGAGTTCGTGGGAAGTTATCAAGCCGGCTTCATTGACGGCCGATCGACAACGGACCAGATCTTCACCGTACGGCAAATCCTCCAGAAATGCCGTGAATACCAGGTCCCAACGCATCATTTGTTCATCGACTTTACGACAGTATCGACCGTACTGAGCTATGGAAAATCATGGACGAGAACGGTTTTCCGCAGCTGAGCTGATCAGACTGATCAAAGCAACGATGGACGGTGTGCAAAACTGCGTAAGGGTTTCGGGTGAACTATCCAGTTCATTCAAATCTCGCCGGGGACTGCGACAAGGTGACGGACTCTCATGCCTACTCTTCAACATCGCTCTAGAAGGTGTAAAATCCGGTCAATTTGTGTGCTTTGCGGACGACACGGACATTATCGAAAGAACATTTGGAAAGGTGGCCGAACTATACACCCGCCTGAAACACGAAGCAGCAAAGGTCGGACTGGTGGTGAGTGCGTCAAAAACAAAGTACATGCTAGTAGGCAGAACCGAACATGACAGGATTCGTCTAGGAAGTAATGTCAGATAGACGGGGATACTTTCAAGGTAGTGGAGGAATTCGTTTACCTTGGATCCATAATGACGGCTGACAACAATGTGAGTCGTGAAATACGAAGGCGCATCATCAGTGGAAGTCGTGCCTACTACGGGCTCCAGAAGAAACTAAGGTCAAAAAAGATTCACCCCCGCACCATATATACTATGTACAGAACGCTAATAAGACCGGTGGTCCTCTATGGACACGAGACATGGACTATGCTCGAGGAAGACCTGCAAGCACTCGGAGTTTTCGAGCGACGTGTGCTAAGGACGATCTTCGGCGGTGTGCAGGAGAACGGTGAGTGGCGGCGAAGAATGAACCACGAGCTCGCTGCACTCTACGGCGAACCCAGCATCCAGAATGTGGCCAAAGCCGGAAGGATGCGATGGGCAGGGCATTTTGCAAGAATGCCGGGCAACAACCCTGCAAAGTTGGTGTTCGCTACTGATCCGGTTGGCACAAGAAGGCGTGGACCAGGTAGAGCGTGATCTAGCGAGCATTGGGCATGACCGAGGATGGAGAGCGGCAGCCGCAAACCGAGTATTGTGGTGTACTATTGTTGATTATGTCTTATCTTAAATGTGATGTTGTACAAATAAATGTATGTATGTATGTATGTCCTTGCCAGTTTTTCTAAACATATTTCTTCAAGTAGGGCCTTTCAGATGCTGCCTCAAGAAAATTTTTAGCGATCCAAGTACATGTGATATAAGCATTTTAACAATAGATGGTTTAATGGACAAAATAATCTATAACTTTTTAACGTTAAGACTTACCAACATGCTTTGCTCAGCATAAATGAGAGCCGCTATTTGCTCTACAAGTGTTGTGGGATCTATTTTCTAAAAATAATTGTTCAAAAAGTTTATTAGGGACACCCTAGCAAAATAAATTATAAATATAAATATAAATTGCTCTAAAACAGTCAACTAAAGGGTAAGTTTAGTAGTGATTTGAACAAACATGCGTGAAATAATATTTTCAATAACTTTGCCGAATAGGGAAACTACCTTTAACAAAAAAGTTACAATCTGGAATTGGATTTAAACGAGGACCACATTAATCAGTTTTTTGCTTAAAAGAAGCATGATATAATAACAAACAACTTCTTTGAAGATAGAAGAAATGGATGTAGTGTCGGCCTATATGCCCCAAATTTGGGCCCATACATGAATTCAGCAATCGACTAAATTTTCAATAGCGACCAAAAATATCCATAAGTACACGCAAACCAACAATCTATTACAATGAATGTTAGTTCCGTTTCCTATCATCCTCTGTTCATGAACATCGCAGCGAATGTTTTTTGTCTATCTACGCTTTCGACTATACCAGTAAGCTTGTAGAACGACGCACATGGAAGAACATTGTAGAACGACGCACACACTTGCCTCGAATCTCTCCAGCAGAAAAAGTATACGAGGTCGAGTATGCGAGACAATGAGCGCTTCGTGTTTGCTTTTAGGCTATCCAATTCAGAAGCATGGAGAGAGCAGTGGAGAAAGCACAGGTCTGTTAATCGCAACGTTCGTGGTTCGGGTTCAGTCGGCGATCTGTTTCCTATTTTTTTCGACATAATTAATTTCTCTCACTAATACACTCTACATTTCTCGGTCTCAAATTTTCTTGCATTGGACCGCAGCTAGGTATATCGCATCCTCGGTTCATGCGGTCTCCACTAACATCCTCTGATGATGAATCCCACCTAATTGTAAGCGAATCTTACATTCCCCGGTTGGGTGTACCGTCCCAATGACGCGTTTATCTAGATAAAATTGATAAATAGCAGATTTTTAACGATGGGCCCAATCTGAAATCCATAGGCAAACATTAGAGCAATTTCCCCTATCAAGCATTAAAATCAACAAGAACGGAGAAAACAATTATCTCATGCTAACTTCTCGATTTGAACCATACACGGTAAAAAGTTATCACATCTAATCCAAATGCTCTTGCACTTGACTCAGTCCGGGAAAATTAGTGCATGGTGTTTGATGGAGTTGACCAATGATGCCAGGATTGCAGAATGATTTTTTTATTTTAATTTTAATTTGATTCAGAGTTTCTACCGCAGTTTAGCACATTGTACTTCATTTTTGCTTGACATAATAAAAACAACCATAAACAAACAAGAACATCCATCTCTTAAAGCACGCCGTGGACCTTATTTTCCAATTTTCCTTTCGCAAATATAAACAATTAACAACGCCATTGACGTCAACATGTGATCCCTCTGTCCTTTTTATTCCACGATTGCTACTGTCAAATCAACCAATTAGCAACTGGCTTGAATTTGAAAGCAAATTGGCTCTGAATCACTACCCGATTGTCAAGTCCCGTCCCAGGACTCAGTCTGTTATGCGGCACTACGAATCGAAGTGATTTATCATTGATTTTCAAGTTATTTACGTTTGGAAACAAAGTGATTTGTCGTTGAAAAATATGTACTGTATGACAGCTTTATATCAAAATGATTATCATTTGAATCGGCACCACTGTTTTCATCCATTGAATTTGATTGGTTTTGCTTTTGGAAGCAAATGTCAAAAACGCCCATGACAAACATTACTCGCGAAGATGGCAAATCAACAACAAATGAAGTCAAGCGAGAGAAGCGATAATTCTCCACCACCACCCGAAATAATTTGCGTTCTAGAGCGTGAAATATACGAAATTATTGCTGTAGTCAATAATAGTGTATTACACAAATAATTTCGATAGCAAAACAGTGTCAAACTTATTGAAATTTATTGCTCAATGTCTCGCCATGCTTCAACTAAAAGCCTTGCGATGTTGTTCAATGTCACTTGAAAACATGTGACCTGGGTAGGAATATAATATGGTCATATTCTGAATAACATATCACAAGGCTTTCAGTTTGAACAAGGCTGTTTATATTTATTCAAATCAATTTTCAGCAAAAATTAAATCCAAGGATAAATTATTTAAAGTTTAAGTGATAGATTTTTAACATCAGTATGGTTGACATTTCGAGTTCAAAGCACAGCACATCAAAAACAATGTGCAATACAATCTAAAATGAAGTGATTTGCTGTAGATTTCATCATGCTTCGATATGATCTCTTCCAAGGGATTTGCACATCGAATTGCAATGTTTGGCAAGTAGTGCAAACAGCAAATCATTTTACATGAACATGATGTCCTTTCACCGTGTAGTGCACTGTGCAACGCGGGCAAGATAGTCGTCATCATTGACATCACCGTTCCACTGAACCGTTACCAAGAAGAAACTCATGGTCACAAAATCTCCAAACACTGTCCATTGGCCGTGGAGTTGAAGGAATTGTGGGGATTGGTAGGATTGATCAAAACAATCAAGTACAGCTTTAATGCGCACCCGATTACACATGCAGATAATTAATTAATCGCAACTTTTGTCGTTATTTCTGTTCTCAAAACGGTGCAGCTCAAGCGACACGACTCAACCGACCTACATGGCGTTGAATGTAAAATCGTTTCCAAGTGAGACCACACCAAGCCAATGATACTGATTTTATGAAATATGCACTGTTATGCTAGCAGACCAATGCGATTCGACCTTTGCATCCGCTTTACACATTTTCTTCGCTGACTTCATTCTCTAATTTAGGAAACTGTCATTGTCATGGTCATTGTCATGGCGGTGAAACTTTTGGAGCTAGATAATCATCACGCAAGCATGAAGTTTAGCTATTGGTGTTACTAAAGCTTCGCAAGTGTACTAAAAGACAGTTGGATTTAAACTCTCGATCTAATCACTTAGATTGGAGCACGTATTCTAGTAAATCGCTCGGCCAAGATGATCCTTTTCTTGCTGCTAATCAGCGTCGTATTGGCGTACTTTGTGATCCGAAATCACTTCAGAAGAAGACAATCATTTGCCAACGACCTGCCGCAGGATGTTCCGGAGAAATCATTTCTAGGCTTGAACTACACGCTGCTGAACCTAAATGATGAAGAACGATTCGAGCTGTTGAACAAGATTTTCCTGCAACATGATCGACTGTTCCGGATGACGATTGGCCCTATGTTGCTTCTGGGCGTTAGTCATCCAGATCTGGTGCAGAAAGTCCTGTCCCATCCGGATTGTCTGGAGAAACCCTACTTCTATGACTTTGTGAAATATGATCAGGGAATCTTTTCTGCGAAATGTGTGTTTAAAGAAAATATTAGTTTTTTCGGAAAGTTGGTTTATTGATTTGTGGTTAATTTTAGTCAAGCTGTGGAAAAGCCAACGGAAGGCGTTGAATCCGACGTTCAATATGCGGATTCTGCATAGTTTTATGCCGATTTTTGTGCAGAGCAGCCGAAAGATGGTGAATGAATTGGACCAGTGCAAGGCTGGTGAATCCATCAACATGTTCAAGTATACGTCCCGTTGTGCGCTGGAGATGGTTTGCGGGACGACGCTTGGTACTGATGTGTTGGAACGGGACGGAAAGGATGTGTTTCTGGAATCGCTGGAACAGTGAGTTGTGAATGAGTGAACATGATTTCATAAGAAATGATGGTTTTTTCGTGCAGATTATTTACCTGTGTGTCGAGACGCATGCTGAGCATTCACCTTTACTCGGATATGATCTATATGTTGACTCCGCATTATTGGATAGAACGTAATGCTCGAAGACAGTGCAGAATATTCACCAAAAAGGTAGAACGCTTTCTTGTCGTTTCTTTTTCGCGGTAGCTACATTTAACGGAATTATTCTGATTCTATAGATTCTTCAGGAAAAGAAGGAAGCCAGACATGTTTCAGCCCCCACATCTCCCTCGGATTCTGACCCCGAGGCGGACGATTTCAAAAAACCTCAAATTTTTATCGAACAACTTCTCTCCACGAAGGAGAGCAGCCGACCGTTCACCGATGAGGAAATTTTCCAAAACGTTTTTGTAATTATGGTCGCGGTACGTTCTCTGATACTTCAGCCATTTTCTGCATCAAACTAACCGAACATCTCTCTCTCTCTCTCTCTCTGTAAATTCAAAGGGTAATGACACATCTGGACTGGCGACGGCTTACACCTGCCTCTTCTTGGCCATGTATCCGAACCTGCAGGAGAAGGTCTACACCGAAATCATGGAACACTTTCCAACCGAGGACGCTGAAATCAACGGCGAATCGCTCAAACAGCTTGAGTACACGGAAATGTTCATCAAGGAGGTGTTGAGACACTGCCCAGTGGCAGCCAACATTGCTCGGGAGTGTATGAAAGACATCGTAGTGGATGGCGTTCGCATTCCGGCTGGGAATCTATTTATCTTCACATTTTGGGCCATGCACCGAAGGAAGGATATCTGGGGACCGGATGCAGATAGGTTTGACCCAGATAATTTCCTTCCCGAACGTTGTCGGAATCGGAATCCAAATGCCTACATGCCGTTCAGTGCGGGTGCGAGAAATTGTATCGGTGAGATTTTAGAGTGGGACAATTGTTGTGGAAATGGGTAATTGAATATTAATTCCGATTTACTATTTTAGGTGCACGATACGCAATGATTAGCATAAAAGTGATGCTTGTTTACATCGTGCAGCGATTCAAGCTGCATACGACATTGAAACACGCTGAGTTGAGGTACAAGTTTGGAATCACGTTGAAGCTGTCAACGAATCATTTGATTCAGCTCGAGAGGCGAAAAAATGCTTATTAAATGTAAGGACTGTTCAAGTTATAAAACGGAAACAAACTTTCAGTTACAACGTTTTTGTTTGCCTACTTAGCTTTATGCTTTCTTCGGCAAGCAACTTAGAATAAATAATTATCAATAAATGTGAAACAGCATGTAGTTTTTACAAAACTTTAAATCACATGTGCTCAAAATGCAATTTTGGAATTTTTGTCAAACCAGATTTTTTTTTAAATCAGCCAATTGGGCTTCTTAAGCATTTTACGTTAAGTTATTTGTAGTTCTTGTCTGACTGAGGATGACACTTAGAACACTCTTGGTTCCTAGGGTCTTGGTTATCCCTCTTGGAAGTCTCTAGAACTCCTTTTTGATTCTCCAACACCTTCTGGTTGGTTGTTCTAGAACCACAATGATGATTCATTCCTGACAGTCTTCACGGTACAACATGTGTGTAAAGTAAACGAATGTTTTGCACTAACTTGTTCTCCGCTTGTTATGTGCGAATATGTTCAACCCCAGTTGTACACAAGTTTGAACTCAAGTACAATGCATTGCAATGAACAGGTTTATACCCATGTGAAAACTCATGCGCTTATGCTCATATGACAGACGGCTTGCATAAAGAGCATGTAGCCTTTGCTCCATGCTGTAAATATTAAATTAGTCATAAATAAAATTTGCACGAAATAGATCTAATCCATACGCCAAAAACTATGCCAGTAGCGAAACGACACTAGCTGATTTACGTTAAAATTGGAATGCCTCGCGAGTAACGCCACTCGACCTTGCGTAGTTTCTCCCAAGGCCGAATCCAGGGAAACCTTCGGGAAATTTAGGGAAAGAGAGAGTGTGGCTACACCCGACTTTGAACGAAGGGCCAACGATCAGAATAATCTCTCGCATTACCGATCTCGTTCGAAGAAGTTCGCGGGAAAATCGAACTTCCGTTAAGTTCGGCCGAGGTCACTTTCCCTAATCTGAGGGTCACGGTTTCGCTTCACTTTCGTCCGAACCGCAGCTTACAGTGGAAGTGTGTCGTTTTGTTCGCGTTAATGTATAGTCTTGTATAGTGAGTGAAAACAACGTGGTTTTACTTTGTATTTAAATTCTAATTTATCGTTGATTGTTTAGTTATAGCAAATCATAAGCTAAATGTAGTGTGCGGCATAGGTTAGATTTTGTGTGCATAGAAAAACAATCTAGGCCAGGTAATGTGCTCGTCCAACAACATTTGTGCTTTGTGCTGAATATTAATTTCAACAGCCGACGACTACATCCAACTTCCGACGACATCACCTGCTTTCCCGGGGCGAAAGATCCCGGCAACCGTCACCTTGTCCGGTGGGAAGCGATTAAAATTCTCATCGCGTATCGGGGCTTGGTGGATACCAACTGCCATTGTTGGAGAGATCACCGTCCACCCACGTGGAAATCGTTGGCCGTCCAACGGTCGAACATCACCGTCGCTGCCGATAACAGCAGCGCAGCAAACAACAGCCATAAAAACCAACTGGTGAGTCCGTTCCAATTTCTTTGTTGAGTGTGGCGTCCGGCGAGGGCGCCAGCAAGACATTACACTTCGAATAAAGTGGGGAGTTACGCCTTACGCCTTTTACTGAAAATTGCCGAACAGTGGCATAGCAAATGTTCCGAGTCTTCCTTTTCTATGCCACAGAAGCGACATACATCATCTTGAAGTTTTCTAATCAGCTTCAAGTGATAACGGCTCGGACAATGACCTGTATATATGCTATGATCTTTCTTAGAAAGTTCCAAGATTTTGTGGGTTACAGAATTTTTGGATTAATGAATCGCTTTGACTGCCTAGCAATGGAAGTGTTCTTCCAGTTTTCCTCCACTTTTGAAGATTCCCACGCTTTTAGCTCCATTCTAAGAGATGCAGCCGTAGGCGTAGAGATGAACTAGCCAACGGCTAAAAATCTCTCTAATAAATTTAAAAAAAAAAAAAAAAGATTCGCCGATAAGCCACACAAGGGCTCTGGCCCTATGAACTTATGAGAAAATCCGAGTCTTGCTAGTGCATCAGCTCTTTCACTTCCGTCAATCCCGCAATGACCAGGAATCCAATATAAGTTGACTTGATTCTGACAAGACAATTTTTGAAGTGATTGAACACACTCCCAGACAAGTTTGGCCATCTGACTATAGGAACCAACGTGTCTATCTCTGGGACTGGACTCCTGCTCCCACTTGATTGTTCAATCTTGAACCATCTGTATAAAAAACAATCGATCCTGGACGAAGAATCGGACCACCAAATTGCCATGAATTACGCCCAGGGTCAAATACTTGAAAAAGTCGATTGAAATTGTATCTCTTCTCCATGCAGTCTTCGTTGTTCTTTACTAGAGAGTTGATACTAACAGTTTTTAGAATCCTAAGATTTCCTCTAAGGTCTCCTTCAAAGAGTTTCACTGACCTTGTAATCCTTAGAGCTCTAATTGTAAAAATTGATGCAATGGTAGCATACAAAGCCAAGCATTCAATGCCTTCGATGGTGTACTTCTCATTGCACCTGTTATTGAGAGAGGTGATAACCTTTGGAGTTTTTCAAACTTTCTCTGATCAATACTCTTTTTTGTTTTTGGCCACCAGACCAATGCACCATAAGTAACCCTGGGTTTCACAATTGCCGAGTAAATTCTATGGATCATTTTCGGTTTCAGTCCCCACTATTTACCGAATGTTCTTTTGCATAGCCATAGATCATTAGTAGCTTCGTTTATTGCCTGCTCTAGATGCATGTTCCAATTAAGTTTACTATCAAGGATTACTCCAAGATATTTGACAGCATTAGAAAGTTCTAAAAGTGTGCCTTTCAATCTTATGATGTCTGAGGTAAATTTCTTCCTTCGCGTAGATGGCACAATAGTACTTGAAGAAGGATTTTTTTTGTTTATTAATTTATTTGATAAGGCTCAAACGAATTAACATTACAGAGCCGAGGATTCTTGATCACTATACAATACATCTTAAAACTATAGTCAAAAGGTACAACACAATAAACACTTTATCTTCCGTTATCCAAAAAGCCTCCTCCATCAGAACTGGAGCCACTTCCTGTGGTTTCATTGTATGGCAGTTACGCCATCGTGGGGCAAAGCGCTTCCATTGCAGCAATGGACGTAAAACGTGGTCAACACTCACACACTCATCACGAAACGGTTGCTGTCCAAAGTCGACGAGGCATCGACCGAAAGAACTGCTGATGAAGAACAATGAGGAGGACCACACAATGGTTGCTGCCGAGAAAACAGGCGATCGCGTGGCACACATCGAGAGTGGCCTGCTTTTGTCGACAGCCGAGTGAACACTGAGAAGGATTTATGTTCAATCCTTCCCTATCACACTATGATGAGACAACATTTAAGGTAATTTGTATTCTGTTAGCGACAATCATATTTGCCACGTACAATTATGACTGTATCATCTGCGAAGCCAATTATTTCAAAGCATTGAACTATTAATTTTTTGAGAAGATCATCAACTATTAAAGATCACAATAGAGGTGATAGCACGCCACCTTGCGGGCATCCATAGGTTGCTCTTACACTGAGGAGTGAGCTTCCAAGGTTTGCTGATATTTCTTTTTTTGATAACATCTCATTGATCCAATTTACAATGCTTTGATCGAAACCACGTTTCATCGTAGCTGTAGTAATTGAATCGTGATATGAATTATCGAATGCACCTTCAATATCAAGGAATGCAGGAAGTGAAATTTTTTTGACTTCAAAAGATCTTTGTAGTTTTGTAATAACTATATGAAGTGCTGTTACTGATGACTTACCTTACTGGTATTCAAACTGATTTTTGCTCAGAGGATTTCTTACTAGATATGATGACTTTATGTGTTCATCTATTTTTTTTTTTTCATTATTTTTAGCATAATAGACTATAAGCTTACTGGGCTGAAGGATCTTGGTGAAGTTTTATCTTTTTTTGTTAGCCTTGGGGATAAACCTAGCCCGCACTTGTCGCCACACTGCCGGTATGTAGCTTAATATTTGGCTCTCTTGAAATAGCTTTTTTAGAATAGGAGTTAAAACCGCTTTTCCCTTCTGTGGTATTACAGCAATAATTCCATCCCTACCAGGTAACTTGAAAGGTTCAAAGGAGTAAATCGCACATTCAGCTTTTCTTTCAGTAAATGTTTTGTTGGCATAGGGGAAACATCAGGTCTTGTTCTGTCTAACTCAGTCGTTTCATTAAATATTTCATGAATAGTCGTCCTGGTTTCATCGATACCACTTGTTGTTGTCGTTGCGTTTTGGTCTTCGTTTGAATTGATAATAGAACATGGAAAATGCGTTCTCATCATCAGCTCTAACGTTTCATTTGTAGAAGTAGAAAAAGTACCATCCTCTTTTTTCAAAGTACCCAGCCCATTTTTTTTTTCATTTATCTTTATTAAAGAGACTTCCAGCCCTGGGCTGGTTCGTCTCCGTCCAGCCCATTGGAATGATCTCTAGCGAGTATTTTCTGCAACCTAGCAGTTGCTGGAGTATTTTCAATGTTCTCACATGTATGGCTCCAGTGTATCCTCTTTGATCTCCATATTTCCTGATTATAAGCGGTGAGGGATTTCTTATATTTTTCCCACTGTTTTGTTCGTTTAGCCCTGTTGAAAAGCTTCTTTTTACGAAGTTTCTGTAGCCTGTTGTTCCACCAAGGTACATCCCTGTTTGTAGAGCTTTCCTTTCCGATGCAACTCTCATAAAAGGCATGTTGGATCAATTCGGAAAGTTGTTAAGACCTGTTCTCGAATTCTTCACAAGTGTTTGACCTAATTACTAACGTGTCTCTTCCTGCCACTAGCTCTGAATCATATAACTCCAAGTCTGTTTTCCTAGGATCTCTAAAAATTCATGTGAGCTGTTGAACAACCTCATATTCAAATAATATTTGCTTTTGATCAGACAAAGATATTTCTTGGCATGTATTTTTGATTTTGTCCGAGATTATTGGACGACACATAGTCAAATCAAGAACTT